TCTATTGCCTTCTTTTGCTTGTAAGCGTGGTGCAGTGAAGCAAAGAAAACATTAAATGCATCAGCTTTCTCTGAATCATCCATCATTTTTTCTCCATCCCCTCAACTTTTCACACTTAATCATGTGCCATTCCTTCCACTTTTCATAGTTTCATTCTGATCGATCTCTAAAAGTCCCTGCTATGCCATTTTTCCTTCACATCAAGAGCTTGCTGTGGTGCCATTAAAAAGCAGCTCTGCAGTTTCTCTGTTACACCCATCATCTTCCAGATTGACCCAGCCACCATCACCCACACCCAGAAACTGCTTTCTGCGGTCCTTATTCCACTTCTCCCATCTCACCCCTTTCTTGACAACATCAGATACTAACTCTGCAGCCGCTTTCACCCGAATTATCTCTGTTTTACATTTTTAGCCACTTTTTAGCTTCAATCTAATCTAAAATAGCTGACTCTAGAATAACATCCTACGTCTTCTGAAAGCCCGTTCTCCCGTATGTTGCTCACACTCCTCATATCAGTGCACAGACATTTTAGCTTAACGTTGCTTCCTTCTCCCTGCTGTCTCTTCCAATCCCAGTGCCAATATATAACTTCATTTACATTTATAAAATGTGACAGTCTGTCAGGATATAGACTCTCATCCCAGAATCTCAGCCAGAAGCCAGAACCCCGACTTGGGGACACAAAATCCCACGTGTGGCAATCCTGGTTTGTGTATGACAGAAACCAAAGTTTAAGCGCTACTCCATTACCTGGACTTGAGCCCTGAAAACTACCAAAACCAGGCACCAATTGTTTTCTTTCTCTTGGCCAGAAATGCTGTCTTAGGAGTCAAAATCTCTCCTGAAAGGAGTTTAGTTGTAACGAGGATGGTCCCACGAAAAAAAGGTTTTGAGAAGTTAGCGCGTTTGGCCAACCAACCTTTCCCCACAATCTGCCAAAACACACTGTTGGAAAACGCCTGATCAGCTCTTAAGAAGCTCCTCGGGCAGTCAGAACACGCCGAGTACCCCAGAGAGTATGTGACCACAACAGTTAGCACACAACTGTAGGAAGTCCCAGAAAACCCAAACTCATTCTGCTGTGTCAATCTCTTTACAACAGAGATCTGTAACGACACATTACTGCTTAAGGACTCTTAAGGAGAAAACTTCTGGTCTGCACAAAATAAGCCAGTTTTGGTGACACGTCCTATTTTAACTGTATAGAATTTCAGGATGACCGTGAGTTGGAAGACTTTCTTCTCTCATAGAGATAATAAAATTCAAAGAGCAATCAAGATCTTGTAAACTGAACATCCAGGTAAGCTCCTGTTATTAGGAGAGTTGAATTTATTAAGCCTCTAAATATCAGCATTAGCAGGGACTCATCATGAATCAGAAGCACCATGGTCTGTCCCTCTGTTATACTTAATGGCCCATCTTCTCTTAACCAAAGATATGTATTTTGGTACAACGTAATTTCCTGAAGTGATAGATTTGCTATCCAAACACAGCCTGAACTGCATATCCGTGGCCTACAAGGCTAAAACTATTTACCAGATGGCAGGCTGATTGGCCCATTACATTCACTGGCAGCTATCTTAGGGTCTTCTCCAGCTATTGGACATTTCAGAAGTCAGCAGTATATGAAGACTAAATTTACTCAAATGTGCACGACGGTACCCGAAACTACTTTTACCCAGGTTAGTGCCATACCCGTCTCCACGCTACCACTGATGCCAGCTCCAACCACTTTTGGAAACCTTGCGCCAGGTACTGCTCTCATGAAGACCTACAACTGATCACTTAGCCTAATGGTCTGCATTGCGTAAATGGGTGTCTGAACTGTGTCTCATTGAGTACCTTTTTTCTGCCGAGCACTGTGTAAGTCCCGGGCATCAGCTGCATGTGTGCACAATGACAGCGATATACGAAATTTCTAGCTAAGAATGTCAGATGCAGTTATGAAGATTTTACAAGCCATAGAATGGGACCAGGATCCAGTAAGTGGTATTCGTTTTACTGGCGCACAGAGACGGGGAAAAGTTCTTCCCTCATTTTTAGGTTTCTTTTCAGATATTATAGAGCACTATGCTCAGGAAAATTACATCAGAAAAATATCTGAAGAGGGGATAAAAGTGGACACGGAAAGGTGATTTTTAAAATTCAAATCAGTATTACCCATGCTGCTTCTTATTCTAAACACTTACCCAAATACTAGACTGTGGGTCAGAAAACGAAGACAACACTGGGAAAGAAGAAGAGTCAAAGGAGTACAAACACAAGGGACAGAGCATTATTCTGAATCCTGAACTGAGCCAGTGTGCGTTAATAAGCACTGCTTCGGGATTGATGGAACAGTGATCACTGTTACCCATCTGGGAGATTAAATATTGCAGCCATTGGCTGAGAAATAATGAAGAACTTTCTTTGGCACTCCCGGCGGAGCTACAATCCAAGCAGCGAGTCTGCCTCATTACACTTCAGCCCTCCGACATAGCCAGACTTTTTAAGAGGCCACAGCCTGGCAAGCATACAACCTGTATAAAGAGTCTGTGCATGCACCCTCCCTCTAAAGCTTCTCATATTTACTACCTAGGTGAGGTTAGAAATATCTTTATATAACATTTTAAGCACACAGCTAAGACTATATAGTACATAATCCTTACGCAGTGAACAGTGATCATATCATAGAATCCCATGAACAAGGGCCTGAAGAACCAGAATTTTGCATTTCCAAATTTCTATATGATGGTTACAGGTAGAAACCAATTTTATTATGACCTGGAAGAGAACTAAAACAGTGTCCCATCCTGTTCAAACTGCTCTGATCTTTTTTTTTTTTTTTTAAATGTAGCAACATTAGCTTCCTCACCTCCCCAGGAGCAGTATGTTTGTTAATTGTCCCTACAGCCCAAAAGGTCCTATGTGATGAGAATCCTTTTAAAAGAGGGATCTTTAATCTAGCAGACAAAGAAGTCAAGATATGGTAATCAGAAGCTGAAGAAAGCAGGAGAATAAACATGAAGGATATATTTAAACTGAGGGGATATGACACTTTACGGAACCTGATTACGTAGAACAAATGTTTCATAGTGGAGACTCTTTCTGTGTCAAGACCTGAAGATGGGGCTGGTCTTTCTGCTCCGCTACCTTTTGTGGTTCTTCATTGAGACTGAGCCCAAGGGAAGTGGCATAAGTTCCTGCAACCCTGAAATAAAGTTAGTTATCAGTATTTGGTTGCTCAGCTCAGCAGTGCATTAATTCAGATTGGTCATCTGTTACACAGGGGGAAAAGAAACAGACTTTTGAATTCACTCATTACCAGCATGTGAATATAAAAAGAGAAGTCTTCCAGTGTGTTAAACAGCTGTCACGTCTGATGAGGGACAGAGGGGCAGAGGTTGTGCCAGGGGTCACTGGGTAGGAACAACACAGCATGTTATTATAGTGGTCCTTTAACTAGAGGACAAGCTTAGACTGACCACAAGCAAAACCATTAAGCCATGTGCAAAGCCAGTGTCCAATCTCACTGCCGTTTGTTCCAGAAGAGATGAACTGTGAATGCAGAGCACCCACAAGCCACCAGAGATCCTGGAAGCGTACGAAAGCTGCCAGCGAGTCCAAGAGTTTTGCACTAACTATGGGCAATTCATTCGGGAATGCTATTTTCAGGATGAATAATAAAGCTATGAAATAAAGGACAGCTAAAAGCCTGCTGCTGCAGCCTACTCAGCTAGAGGGAAGCTTAAGAGTGCATAAGGTCCCATCAAGCTGCTCCTGACACCTGGCAAGTATCCAGCGCAGGCAGCTATGATATGGGGTAACTAATATTCTGGGTTAATATTAGTCTAATTTGTGTACAAAAAACCTATTGAGAAGGAGATTCCATTGCTGCAGAAGGAAGCTTTGGAACAGCTTTATTATTTCTCTTCCTCACTTTCAGACGCCAGGAGTGATAATCTGCTATTCCTCCCTTTCAAGGGCAGTAAACAATAAAAGATATTTGAAATTGTATATAGTAGAATAGAATTCACAGTCTGCATCCTCTTCAACCATGTAAGCGTTCATTCAAAACTGAAGCTACATAAAGAGAGTAAGAAAGGATTTAACATCTAAGTACCGATTGTAACTCTTGAGCGTCCTATCAATTTGCCAGCAAAAGCAAGGCAAAGAAGAGATGAACAGCTTCATATACAAAGAGTAAGACAAAACTGGTTGAAACAGGAGCCAGTTTCCAGGGGGCTATAAGCACCTCTGAATTTCTTCTCATTTCAGTTAGAATTGTGCATCTTGTTAACAAATTACTGATGGCCACGCAAATACATACATCCAAAAGTTCATTGGTTCTCAGGCTGATACTGATTTACTCCCCGCCCCAAAAATAACAGCAGTCAGTAACAAAGTAATAGAGCTTCTGCTTCCCCAAATTTTTACTCAAGCTTCCTTTTATACACAGAACAGGAAATGCCAAATAAATCCAGAATTATAAGAGCTGAAGGTGTAATCACTTTCGTAAGAAACTTCAAGAGATTTGATACAAAAGAAACAAGATTTGAGTCCACATATAAAGCTCCACATAACAGGTTTATGTTAGGTTTAACTATTATATTAAATCTCCACAGCTGATGACTGATACTTAAACATGTTTAAAAAAGAAAAAAAAGAAAAAAAAAGTTTCAAGAAAACTGTACTATCCCAGAATGATACTATCCCAAAACTTTAAAAAGTTCATGGCTGCAGTGTGAAAATATTACTTCACCTGAAACGCATTCAGAATTTCAACAAATACCTAAAATGCAGAACTTCTTAAAACTACATAGCCTACTATATCTGTTCTCTGAAATGAAGTATTAACCTTGAGAATTAAGAAAAAGAATCCCTTCTCCACTTTTTTACAAACAGGAAGGATAAGTGCTCCCAAAACTTTAAGTCAGTTTACAATTTTAAAAGATTACTACAGAAAAAGTGTACATTCCTTTGTTTCCTTGCAACTATG